CTGAGCTGCTAGGACCTGCCCCGGGAGCGCGGTCAGCCACACCGTGAGATGGACGCCCCCACCGCCGCTGCCGCTGTGTGGGCCTGAGAGCCCCGCCTCACAGAGCGCACGGGCGCCCCAGAGAGGCCGCAGAGCAGGACACGGCCGAGCCAGGACTCGCGCCGGGTCTGGTGTCCCGGCCACCCGCCTGCCGGGGCTGGGGGAAGGGGGCGGTGGGCAGCGTTCACAGCCCTGGCCCGAGCAGGGCTCCTCTTCCTCCCACCCACTGAAGGTGTGGACCCAGGGAGGATGCGCCCCAGGGCTCTGTTCCCATCGGTCACGCTGTCCGCGGGGACCCTGGATCTGAGGCCAGCGTGGAAGCGCTGGACGTCCCAGGGACGGTGGCAGGCAGTGCCCAGGAGGGAGAGAGGAGAGGCGGGAGGCGCGCTGGAGCCTGCCGCCCGGGCCCCAGGCCTCCTCTCTCTGCGTCTGAGCTCCCGCCGGGAGGCTCCGCTGGCTCTCCTCTTCCCTTCCATGTTGTGGGAGCCACAGCCTCGTGACTCTGCCTCCCGTGGGGAAGCGCAGCACTTTGGTGTGCGGTTATTTCAAGGTTGAATTCTTGCAATGAAATTCATCTTCACAACCTTGAGTCACAGATCGACTCAGGACGGCTGACGAACCGAGATGCAGGACAAGCAGAGGCCAGCCACCGGGCCCCACGGCAGAAGGAAGCCGCGTCTGCGGCCGGCCGGACGGCCACCTACCCCGGGGGCTTCCTTAGGTTTACGCCTGGCCTTCGTGCACGGAGACTAGAAATCTTAACTTGCTGGTGACCTGAATGTTTGAGACCTGGGGCTCTGGCCCCCCGAACACCTGCTCCCGGGGCTGTTGGAACAAATTACTTGGTGGCTTGAAACACCAGCTATTGGCTCTGCCTCCCGCCGTCCTGGAGGCCAGGCGTGCAAACCGCAGGCGAGGGCAGGTTGGTCCCGTCTGGAGGCTCCGAGGGAGAACCCGGGCCGGCTCCCCCCGCCCGCCGTGGCCGCTGGCAGCGCCCGGCGTTCCTTGGCTGGGACACCATCCCTCTGGTCTCTGCCCAGTCACCACGTGCACATGCTCTCTGCATGGGCCGCCCCGGGCACGGCGAGAAGCCGCCTTCGGTCTGCACAGCCTCCCGCGAAGCAGCCAGGCCTGGCTCTGCTTCGGGGCCAGAGAGCCAGGCGGGCCAGCAGGGGGTGCTGGACGCAGAGCTCCGCCCGCCTTCACCGCAGGAAGGGCGTCCGAATCCATTGCCTGTCCACCGGCCTCAAGGGGCCCCGCTGGGCCCCGGCCGCACCAGACACTGACCTGCCTGGACCACTTCCCAAGCCAGGCCGGGGCTGGTGCCCACCCTGGCTCCGCCGCGCTCCCTCGTCGCAAAGGTCTCCGCGCGCGGCCCGGAAAACGGGAGTGGAAACGCTCCGTTCAGGTCGCGGAGGGTCAGGGCCGCACACGCCGCGATCCTGCGCGCTGGGAAGGGAGAGCAGGTCGCAAAAGAGACTTAATGGTTGTTTTCCCCAACCTCTTAGAGCCCAAAGCAGCGATTTTCAAAGGCGCCTTCATTTATTTCTAAATAGCGACAAACATAACATTAAATCATTATCAGACTCAGAAAGCAACGGAGCTAATCTGGCTTTCATTTGACTCCATTTAGTTAAAAGTGGCTTTCGACAGGAGGGGAGGGGGAGAGCAGGGGGCGGAACAGTCATAATACTGAAAAACCGCTCCTGCTGGGAACGATACGCTCCCGCTTCCCGATGGGAGCAGGCGTGCCGGTCTGTGCGCAGGAGGGCAGCGGAGCAAGGCTTCCTCGTGGGAACGGCCAGGCTGCAGGCTCGGGAGCGTCCGGAGCCGGGGCCAGCTGGGCCCAGGGGCTGGCGGCTGGGACTCAGGATAAGACCAAGACGCTGGTCCAAGTCCAGGGCACCGGCCGAGCCCACCTCGGGCTCCTAAAGGACGAGCCACAGAGCACGGGACCTGGGCTGTGGGCCCTGGCAGAAACTTGTCATAAAAAAAAAATCTCTGTTCTTTGTGAGAAAAGCACAAGAGAGAGGGGAAACCGCTTCACATGGCCAAACGTTTTAAAAAGCACCAGCCCCTGTCTTGTGCCCAATTCCCACTCGTTGGAGGGGCTTGCCGTCCTCACCTGCGCCAGGACAGGACTCTGTGTCCCGGAGTGGCCAGAAGGTCACAGTCCCACTGGGGCTGGGGAGTGGGGGAGCGGTGGGAAGAAGAGACAGGAAAAGAATGTGTGTGCAGAAAACTGTGTTACACCGCCCCCCCGCCCCCACCGGGGGGCAGCGTGGAGGCCTGTCCCCAGCCGGCAGCAGCTGCAGCCTCTCGCAGGAGCGCGCTGGCGGGGCCGCATGGCCAGCTGTTCCCAGCACCCCTGGCCCCGAGCAGAAGTGCCCGGGTGCCCCCCTGTCAGTCTTGGGGCCCAGACGCAGGGGAAGGAAGCTACCGCGGCCCCCTCCCACCGCATGCGGACAGCCGGCCTTGCCGTGGCTCTGCCCCTGGAAGCATCTGGAAGGGGGAGAAGGTGGAGGGGAGGGTCCCATGCTCCCTCCCCCTGAGGACGCCGCCTCCCCACCTCCTGCTCCTCCCACCCTGCTGGCCAGGAAGGCGCCCAGGCTGCCCAGTGACTGCACGGCTGGGGGCCCGGGAGGCGCTTTCTGTGCGGGTGCGACCACCCCCTCAGGGCGACTGCTCACAGCGGAGTCGGGGGGCGTTCTCGGCTCTGCCTGTCCCCAAGATGAAGCCGGCACGGAGAGCGGGGAGACCTGGGGCCAGCGGGAAGGGCGCCCCTTGGGACAGGGTGTGGCGGTGCCCGGAATGGTAGGGAGTAGGGCCTTTTAGGGGGGAGCCACCCCTAGAAAGAGCCCCAAGTGCCGGGCGTGAGAGCTTTCAGGAGCAGAACAGAAGGACCGGAAGGACCGTTTCCTTTCCCGTGGTCCTGAGAGGCCACCCCCCCCACCCCTTGGTGTGTCTGCCCTGGGACCCGCTCTCCCCCCGACCACCACGTCCCCGCGCAGCCATGGCACGGCTGGCTCCAGGGCCTCGGGCAGCCCTGGAATCGCAGGGCCTCCGGGCCTCCGCTGACCTGGGCCCGGGAACGGGTGCCCAGACGCCCCCTGCCTCTCGCTCACCTGGCCCGCCCACAGCCCAGCCTCCCTCACGGGGCCCCCAGCCTCCTGCCCCAGCGAGCGCGCAGGCAGTGAGCCATGCGGGCGGCAGGGTCACAGCCCCAGATGTTCCTGCCGTCACCGCGGAGGAGAGCTCCTGGGACGTTCGGCCGGCCCGCCCCGCCGCGGGGGCCTGGCCGCGCCTCGCGAGAGCAGGCCAGCAGGGACCGGCGGGCAGCGGCCCAGAGGCGGTGGGCGCGACAGGAGCTGCAAACCGCAGCCAGAGCGGAGCGGGCAGGCGCCCCCGCGGACCCAGGCCTGCCGTCTCCCCTCAGGGAAGGGCAGCCCCTGGGGGGCCGTGATTTTGCTGGGACCTGCCCGGGTGCAGACCAGCTGAGTCCCCCCGCGGCAGGCGTGCGAAACTCGGAGGCCGTCCATTCAAGACAAGACAGCGCGAGGCGTCCAAAGCAGAATGGAGATGCGGGCGCGCGCAGCTGCGTCAGCGCACGCGGAGGAGGATGCAAATACGCCCGGCGCGGTATTTCTCCGCAGGATCCAACCTGGGGCCGACCGGCACAGAGGGCTGCAGGGGCCCCTCCCAAGGGGGTGGGGGCTCAGTTCCAGCCCCGGGGCCGTCCTGACCCCTCCGATGGGGCTGGGATCCAAGGCCCTCAGGGCAGCTGGCGTCCCCTCCTCCCCGACGTGTGCCTGGCCACCGGGCTGCCTGGGTGACCGTCGTTTCTCACCGGGTCCGAGCCCTGGGCGTTGCTCCTGATGGCGGGAGCCCTCCTCGGTTCATGGCGCCGAGGCCCGTCCTGCCGGCCTCCCCCGTGGCCTGGGTCCGAAGGCGGACCACCCCCACTGTGGCCTCTGCCTGCGGCTGCCGGGGCTCCGTCGCTTCACTTCATCCTCATTTCCCAGATGGAAATGAGGTTTTCCGTTACGAGGGCTCAGGTGCGAGGCCACGGCTCCTCACCGAGTGCTGTCCATTCCATCTCCCGGACGCTCCAGGTCAGACCCCGCCCCGCCGCCACCTCCACCAGCGAGACCACGGCAGAGACCGCTGCACGGCCCCAAACCTGCTCTCCCCCTGCCTGGCGACACCAGCCCCACGTTGCCTGGACACATGGCCACCAGAAAGGGCGACACCTCCCAGACCCCTTGGAGCCAGCCTCGGCCGCGCGCCCAGGGTCTGGCCCGAGCGTCCCCGTCCTAACGCCCAGGACCTGTGCCTGGGTGACCAGACAGCGGAAGGGGGACCTTGCAGACAGGGTTAAGGATCCGGACACGGAGCAGTCATCCTGGGTTTTCCGGGCAGGGCCAGAACCAGGAGCTGTGACCACAGAGGAGATCGGAGTCACCGCCCCCTCCCCTCCCCCTCCCCGGCCACCCCACTGTCCCTCAGCCACACTGCCCTCGAGGGGAGCAGGCTTATGCTGCAGACAGAAAACCTCTGACAACAGGAAAAACCACCAAAAACACTCAAGAATTAACTGTCAAAAGAGAAAACGTGTACAAGTTTACTATTTCATTAAAAAGATATGAAATATTCCCAGTATAAAATATTATTCAGCAAATAATATGTTTGTACAAAACCCAGTAAGAAAACAAGATTATCATTTAGGACAATTCATGGAAAACACTTTGCTGAAAGCAAATCAGGACGTCCCAGGCGGCGGCCCTCCTGCCCGCAGCAGCGCGCGAGCTGCGGGCTGCGGCAGGTGCGACCTCGAGGAGGTGGCGGGCGGCAGTGCGGCCACATCAGCCTCGCAGACGGCCGGACCCGGCGCCACCCGCCCCGGGCCTGGCTGCGGTCCCACGGCTGGGAGGCTGCGCTGCCCACCCCGCCGGGCCGTCCCTCTACTGGTAGACGACCCTCACGCAGAAGGTCTCCTCGCTCTTGTCTTCGTGGTCATTGACGTGGATCAGGATGTCCTCCTGCCCTGCCCTCCGCCGGGGCACAAACCGCAGGCCGATGGTGTAGGTCTCTCCGCCCTCAACCTGGGGAAAAGTACACGGCAGTCGGCAGTCAGCACCTGGCGGGCCGCCCTCTTCCGGCTGCCTCCACACACTCCGTTTTGTCCAGCACAGCAGGTCACAGGGCCCACGGAGGACCTTAAGCCTGGGCTCCGGCCGCTGCCTGGGGGCGAGCCAGGCCGCAGAGGCCCCACATGCACGCTGCACGGCCCCTACCCACAACCCCGGCCGCCGCCTGGCCACAGACACACTCTCCGCTAACTGACCGCCGTGGCCTGCGCGCTTCCCTTAGTGTTCCCGGGGGTGACAGTGAACCTGCGGCCAGTTCTGGATAAAACAGCAGAGGAGCCGCAGGGGAGGTTGGTCGCCAGGCCCCCAAGCCCCCGAACGGTGCCTGGGCGTTCGCAAAGACGCAAAGGCAGGGAGCTCAGCAGAGGACGTCCCTCCCGGTCACGCGCCCAGCTCGCCCCCAGGACTTTGGGAGGACGGCCATTATTAGATGGAATGGCTCCTGAACGTGGCGAGGTCACCCCAGCCCGCCCCGCGCGCACCCCCACCTGGAAGGTGTCCTCCTTGAACTGCAGCAGGCCGGGGTGGTCGCTGTGCAGGTGGTAGGTCCGGCGGAAGGGGTAGGGGTTGGTGTAGGTGATCTGCTTGTGGGCGCCCTGGCCCTGCCCTGCGGCCATGGTGATCTCAAAGGCCTGTGGGGCAGCCGTCGGCGGGGCTCCGTCTTCAGGGGTCCCGCACGGGCCCGTACGTGCGCCCCCACCAGCGGCGTCCCCTCGGACAGGACAGGCGCGCCCTCCGAGCTCCGGGCACCACAGCAGCCCCGCCCCCGCCCCGGCCAGAGGGACCCGGGCCCGCCCGGGCGGAGGGACCAGAGCCGTCAGGGACCCACCGCCCGCACCACAGAGCCCACGCACGCCGCCCTCCCGACCTTGGAGATGAGGGGCGGGCGGCAGGAGAGGCACACGAGCCACGAGGCCACCAGCTGGTGGGAGTCCACGTCGACCACGTTGAGGTGGACGAAGCGGCCGCCTGCCCTGCGGGGCCGCACGCCCACGTGCAGGTCCTGTACCCCGTGCGGCGGCAGCGTGAAGACGCCTCCGGGGTCCGTCTGCAGGGACAACAGAGGGGAGCCGGCGGCACGAGGGCCTCCCGGCAACTGCGCCCCCTGGGCTGAGGGAGCCCCTGCTGGGGGGACACCATGCTCTGGGGGCCCGCGAGGCCGGCGCGGGGTCAGAAGGGGCCCGTGTGAAAACGCCAGGCCTGACGCCGGACCCAACCTCTTCACAGGGCCAGTCTGTCCGTCCGTGTCACCCTGTGTCACCAGCTGGGCCCGACACGCCCGCTGCCCGGGCCTTGCCTCCCAGGCGGCGGCCACCCCGGGATGTGAGCTGGCTCTGCGGCTCGCCGCCAGCCTGCCGCGCGGGGGTGCCACTGCGGCTGCCCCGTGTCCGGGGTCACCACCAGGGGTCACCTCCCAGTGACTCTCAGCCTTGGCCTTTGGGGCTCACACGCCGCTCCTCCCACAACGGCCGGCCTGGTACGGGGCCCGAGTGCAGATGCTCCGCCGCCGCCGCCGGCTGGGAGGCGCTGGGAGCCTGTTCTGGGGACCAGCGTGGAGCCGCAGCCTAACGCCCGCCCCAGCGGTCCCCGGGGACTCCTAAGGGGTTGGCAGGAGGTCCGTACCGACAGCTCCTCGGGGTGCGAGGTGAAGGCTCTCACTTGCCGGACCACCTGTGTCCCCCGAAGGACCAGGGACAGGCGGGTCCGCTGGCCTGTGACACAGGAGACGTCCACGCGCTTCAGGGAGTGCAGGTGCACCTGCCATATGTGGGCGGGCGTGGCCAGCCAGCGGTCCCTGCGAGGACAGGGGCCGGGAGGGCCCTGAGCAGGCGCCCGGGGGACGGGGGGCGGGAGCGCGCACCGGGGCTGGGATGCTGTCCCCCCGCAGCCTCCCCGCCCCCCCCCCCCGCCCCCCCCCCCGCCCAGAGCCTCTCCACGGGCCTGCAGCTCAGGCGCCACTTGGACTGCCCCGGGGGCGGGGCCCAGCTCGGTCAGTCTCCAGCGCCCGCCCTCTCCCAGGGAGGGACCGGGACGCTGCATCCACACCCTCAGACTCTGTGAGGAGACACGGGGACGGGGACTGAGCACTGAACGTGGGGCAGAAGCTGCCTCGACTTCCTCTCCTTCGTGGGCTCCAGCCCCGTGTCCCTCGGGCCCTCGGCGCCGCCCTGAGCAGTGGGCGCCCGCGGCCAGGCCACTGCCGTCCGTCCGAGCCGAGAAAGCCCGGGACAGGCCACTCCGACACCCCGGCGCCCGGCTGCTCCCTCCCTGCGTCCCCACCGCCACTGGCCACCAGGAGAGCGCACTCACGTGTAAATGGTGACAGAGAAGTCTTTGGTCTCTGGGCTCGGACCACTAGCCACCTTCAGGAACACGTCCCTCGGCTCCCCGGGGCCCTGCCGGACAGCGGCGGGTCACAGGAGCAGCGCCCTGCAGCCCGGCCCGGCCCCCGGCCCCCGGCCCCCGGCCCCATGCAGCCACAGCCAACGTGAACCAGGCCCCGGCACGCTTCCGAGCGTCTGTCCTACCCAGAACTCGCTATTTTTTTTACTGCAAGAGAGAAAACCATTAACTTTTTTTAACTTCCTGATCTCCCATGGAGGTCAACAGCTCCACTCCGCCGGACACTGCACCCAGCGTGCTCGGCGGCCACCCTGCAATCACGACCGTTGCTCTGCGCACAGCGGCCGTTACCAACTGCCCTGATGGCCGCTCACGCCTCACCCTCTTGGCCTTGGGCCCACGAGGCCCTGGCCCACCAGCAGGAACACGAAAACTCATTCACGAAGCTCCCACGAGGACGGCAAACGCCCCTCAGCACCTTAGCAAGAAGCCACCGCACCGAACACGGACGAGGTGGCCGCAGGCCGGGGCGCGGGCAGCGGCGGGGCGCAGGGAGGGACGGAGCCCGCCGCACTCACCGCCTTCTGGGTCTCACAGATGACACTCGGGTCGCTACAGCGGACGTGCACCGGGGGCTCCTCGCCAGGCATCCCCACGGGGGCGCCTGGAGCAGAAAACACCAGGACAAGCACCTTTCCCCATGGGGCCTGGGCCGGGGGCACGCCACACAACCAACCCCCCCTCCGCCTCAGGGCTTCGCGTTCAGCCGCCTCCCGGGGACTCCTCCAAAGGCAGCGGCCGCACTCGGAGCAAGGCACCGGCGTGAGGCCTGGCTGAGCTCTAGGGGCACCAGACCGAAGGCAGTGATCGGGAGCAGAGGGCGGGGTGGTCCCCAGGGGTGGCCCCCAGGGCTGTGGATTTTAAGGGGCTGCAGTCGGCCAGCCCGGGGCGCGCTCTGTCGTTCCGGAGGAGGGGAGGGGATGGCTGCTGCAAGTGACAGAGGCAGGAGGCAGAGCTGACAGACGTGCCGGCCAATGCTGGAGTCAGAGCCTCGCAGGGAACATGACGATGCCGCTTGTCACCTTGGGGGGGCCCTTCCCCGGCTGTGGGGGGCACATAGGCCGGCCAGAGCCCAATGGGACCTGCCTGGGGGCGTGTGCCGGGGGGGCAGGCGGATGGCCTTCTTCAGGAAGGTGAGCTCGGGGTGGTAGAAGCGGAAGACCTGGTCCACCACGTGCGGCTGGGGCTGCACCGCCAGGCGGAGCACAGCCATGGGCTGGCCGCCGGCCGCCCGGAACAGCACCTGCGGGCGGAGGGCGGGGGTGGGGGGCAGCGTCAGGACACACCGGGCGGCGGGCAGCTGTGGGCTCCGGCTGCCCACGGACACGGACGGGGTCTCCGCGGCCCTCTCACCCCCACGAGGTGGACGCTGGCGTGGCCAGAGACAGGGCACAGGGTCTACAAAGCGGCGCACGTCAGGCCAGGCCCTTCGGAGAGGAACTCGGCAAAACCGTGTGTGTATAAGACTATTTGCAACAGCAAAGGCTAGAAACCAGTCAAACATCCTCCGCTGGGGACAGCCGGGTACGCGGTGAACCCACCCCCACCCCCACCCCCACGACAGCGGCGCTGATGGCAGAGGGAACAAGGAGGGGCCCTGCACCCTCGCCACCGAGGGCCCCGGGACCACATGCGTGCGCACGCGCGCACACACACGCACACACACACAGAAGGGGTGCAGAAGGAGGAAGTGCTTTCTAGATAGATCCCATTTTGCAGTTTGATTTTGGACTCATGTAAATGTGTTTAGTAAATTTAAAAACTAAATTATTTTTAAAACATAGGAAATATACCACAGATCTAGCTACCCATCGAGTTGGCGACCTAACTACCCGGAGAAGAATCCTTGAAGTCGATGTGGACACAGGGCAAAAGAAGCGCTCGGAACCCCGCCCGCCTTGGCCGCAGGCGGCACTGATGGACACACGCGCGCCCGGGCACCAGCCCGCGGGGTCGGCAGCCGGGGCGGCCGTGCTCAGGGGGCGGAGCCTACAGGCGGCTACATGGAACAGGATGAAGCCAGGATTCCCACCACAGAACTGGACAGGGCCCCTGCGGAGGCCCGCGACCTGCCTGCCCTGGGAGCCAGGCGAACCCCGCCCTCTAGCACCCCCCGATGGCGGTGCAGGCAGGGGCTCTGCAGCGCGCTCAGCCGACGCGCCCCGGGGCGGTGAGCACCCGGCACCCAGCTTTGATTTCTAAATTCCATCCTCCGCCAAAGACGCCTTGGACAAGTGGCCGGTTCCGGAAACGGAGCTGGGACGGCACACGATGACTCAGGAAGCTCCAGGCAGGAAGGAGGCACTCAGAGGACAGGGACGGGTCCCAGGCCCCAGGAGCCAGCTTAAAGTGGCTGTCACTGGCCAGTCGGGGACAACAGGAGCAGTAAAACAACTAACGACTGTAGCGAGTTACACTGACTAAAACAGGAATTCACATCCGTACGGTATAAAAACATAAATGGAATAAGCCAACGGGACGAGGGCAGAGCTGTCTCGGTCCGAATGCCAGCAAACACGTGCAGGAGGAGGGGTGAAACCTGCCGTCGCCAGCCGCGCCAGCGGGGCCCCGGCGGACGGAGAGCCCGGGGCGGCGTGTGCGATGGGCACCACGCCGTTTACGCAAAGCGCCCCTTCCTTACTCTCTGATTCTCCAGCACAAACCTCTCAATTACTTTCACAGAGCGGATGCCTGGCAGGCACCGTGTGGGCTGAACAGGAGGGGCCAGCCCCCGCCGCAGGACAGCGCCGCCCCTCCCTCGGGAGGCCCTGAGGGGGACACAGCGGAAGCGCGGCCTCCCTGCCCGGAGGGCCTGAGCCGAAGGCCGTCCCCAGCGGAGGCCGGACAAGCCCACCTCAGGGACACTGCTGGCACACGGCAGTCCCCCGGCCGCGGGCAGGGCGCCCGCGGGAAGAGGCCCGTGGACCGGGGAGCCCGTGGGCCCTGTCAGGACGCCAAAGCCGCGCACACGGGGTCTGGCGAGCCGGGCCAGGCACGGCGGCCTTCCACGGTGGCGGCGGCCCCGACGGTCCCCACTTTCAGGACCTGCCAGCTCTAGGCCTCAGGGCCACGGGCCTCCTGCCCACAGCTCACCCTGCAGCTGCTCGGAGGCGACACGGCAGAAAAGAGGGAGGGAGAGGGCGGCACAAAGTGTCACCGACTGGGAAACCGGGGCAAAGGTGGGAGTCCCTGGCACTGCCTCTTGCAACTCTTCTCTGAGATTATTTCAAAACAAAAAGTTTAAAAAGAAAGGCACAGGAGCTAACTTGAAAGGGGCAGCAGTGGCCCAAGAGGGGACAGTGTCAGCACCAGTGCCTCAGGGACGAGAAGCCCAGCGAACGCCAACCGAGTCCACACGAGACGCCCAGACGCTGGCCTCGGCGCAGGGCAGGGCACCCCTCGCTTCGCCACCAATTGGCAAGGGAAGGGCAGGAGGCCCGCGGAGGCCTGTGTCAGGACGGCCAGTGCGCTGGCGGCCGCAGCCAAGGGCAGGGCCCACCGCTTCACCCCGATGGCAGGACGGGCAACGTCCCTGAAGCGGCCACCGCGTGCCCCCACCTACCGGCTGCCCCCAGGTCCGAGGGCTGCGAACGGCGGGCAGCCAGGGAGACGCCTCCATGCCAGACGCCCCCGGCAGCCACGCAGCACCTGGCTGACGCCGTCACTGCCCACTGAGGACCTGGGAGTCCACCTCTGAGTGCCCCGCCCCCGGGCGGCCTGAGAAGGGCAGAGGGGCCAGGCCCGGGCGGCACGAGGACCAGCAGGAGGCACGACACACTTCGCGGGGTCCGCCCAGCGGACAGGCGGCCCGCACCCCGAGGCCGTGAGCACGCTAGGTCACAGGCCTGTGGACCGCCCCTCACCTTGGCGTGTCTGGTGGGCATCGTGCTGGGCTTCCCAGGCGATCCGGGGTCGGGGTCCTTCTCCGATCCCAGGTCAGCAGGGGCCTGCGGGAAGCCGGTCAGCACCAGCGGGTCGCAGGCGGAGTCCGGGCGCTGGTGCTGCTTCCCACCGCAGGCGCTCTGCCCGCAGGAACCGCGGCCACCCGGGGCCTCGCTGACTCTCACCGCAACGCTCCTGGCGGTGACGGCCATGGCCAGCCGCATGGCCCCAGAGAGGCTGCGGAGGCTGCGGGGGGGGAGGGGGCGGGGGTGCGCCCCGCTCACCGGCTCTGCGCGGAGCCGGGGCCTGGTGTCCTCCCCACTGCACTGACAGCTCCTGGCACCCAGGGTGTCCCAGAGCCGGCAGGGGTCTGGGCCCCCGGGGCTCCTCAGGCCACTGAAGGGGTGACCATTACCCCATAGAACTGACCCCAAGGGTCAACCGCCCAAACAAGAAACACATGCCCACGCCCTCCCCACTCACACGCACACCCACGCGCGCACACACATGCACACGTGCACACCTCACACCCTCCCGGGAAACCTCAGCTGGGAGCCCCTCAGGGGTCCAGGAGGCCCTTTACCAATTTGGCAAAGAGGCTCAGGGACAGCCCGGCCCTGCATGACGCCCGCATGTGCACAGGCGGGCGCCAGGTGCCGGAGGGCGCAGGGCAGCGGCCTGGAGGCGCGTCCGCACACCGCCGCTCAGAGGTTTCCCAAGCCCCCACAGCCAAGCGGGGCTCCCCAGGTGCCCTGACGCCAGCCCCTCGCAGCCCACCTGCGCCACGGAGAAGGTCTGGTACTTGAAGGGGATGTGGGCGGTCTCCCAGGGGCGCAGGAAGAGCTGGGGCGCGAGGCTGCCCCGCAGGCGGAACATGTCCTCCTCCAGGGGCGTGAGCAGGCCGGCGGCCTCCTTGAAGTGCCTCCACTCCCGGCTGTCCAGGATGAGGCTGGGGGGGCACGCAGAGCTGAGCAGGGCCGCCCCCGCCCCCAGGGGCCGCAGGGAGTGTCCCACCACCCACAGCAGGCCCCACCTGAGCTCGGGGCTGTCCACCTCGATGGTCACAGTCTGCGGCGTGTTGTGGGGGTTCCTGAGCGCGAACTCGAAGAACTCGGCCGTGCCCAGCGTGGTGTGGATGGTGTGCTCCGTGGTGATGGCCAGGCTGAGCGCACTGGCGATGCTCTGGGCCTTCGTGCGCTCCCGGTAGGCGGCAATGACCTGCAGGTCCCGTGCGTGCTGTGCGCGGACGTCCTGCAGGGCCGGCGAGGCACAGGGTCGGACCCGGGCCCCCGTCCCTCTCTACCTCTGTGGCTGCTCCCCAGCCCCTTCCCCACCCCCGCCACGACCGCCACATTTCCTCTGGAGTCGCCGCCACCTCCTTCTTCACAGGTGGGCCGGGCCGGGCAGGGCGGTGAACGGAAGGGGGCATGCCTGTCCCCCACAGGGACGTCTGCGGCCCTCCTGGCCTCGTCCTGCCCACAGAAGGGCGTCTGCCCTGTGAGCCCCCGATTACCTGCAACCCACTGCCCACTCCCCCTGCCCCCCACACCCAGGAGGCTGGTACCAGGCACCGACCGCATGGCATTGAAACCAGATTTCCAACAAGAGAGAAAAGGGTGACCTCAGAACCAGGACAGGGGTCGGCTCCCCAGCCAGGTCCCCAGTGTGGCAGCGGGAGCCCCACCTGCACACAGAGTCCCTGCCGGGGGGAGGCGTCCTGCCCTGACGGACCTCAAGCTGCATCCAGGCAGCTGGCACACTGCCCCGGGGGGTCAGTCATGGGTTCTCTGTCTACCCTCCCCGCACAGGCGCCCCATGGGTCGGTGGCCTTGGCCACCAGACACACCCCGGGCTGGAGCCTAGACACGAGCCTGCCACTGTGAACCTGCCTTTCCTGCGAACCTGCCGCTGACGACCCTGCGAGAGCCAAGGCCGGGAGGGCCCCGCGGCACCGGGACCCCGAACGCCTGGGCCCGCTCGACGCCCCCTCGGCCCCGACCGCCCGGGGACGCGAGGGGAGGGGCTCACCAGCACGCCGGTCCTCCAGCCGCCGCGCTCGCCCCCCGCCTCCTGCAGACGCACCGTCCGCATCCGCTCCAGCTTGCGCCTGCGCACAGCGTCCCCCTCCTGCCCGGCGCCCTGGGGCCCCCTGCCGCCCGGCCTTGTCGGGGCGAAGAGCATGGCCGCCAGCTCGCTGTCCACGTCCGCCAGCTTCTGTGCCTGGACCACGTTTCTCATCCCTGGAGAGTTTAGAGGAGCTGGAGTTTACAGGGCACGTGGCGCCGAGACCCCGGAGCCACATGGCCTGGAGGGAGCCCTGCGTGTCCCTCGTTTCTGCACGTTCTACAGTGACAAAGGCGGCCACTGCACAACTGGTCTCCAAGCGTCCTCCTGACCAGCCCTGCAGACAAAAGGAGTCTGATCCCAGCCCGCAGACCAAATTCACTGACACACGCTAGGTGATTTTCTAGGGGGAGGTCAGCGGACTGAAGCTCAGGCTCCCAGGATGCCCAAGGGCCCAGGACACCCTCACCTGGCACTGGCCACACGCAGCCCCCCAGGGGCACCCCTTGGACCATCGGGCACACTGTCCCGGCAGGTCCTCAAACCCACCCTGGCGGCAGGGGTAGGGTTGGGGGCCACAGCCCCAGGCTCAGACCCGGAAGCGGGGGCTCTGAGGGGCTGTGCCCTGGGCCGGGGCCCCCGGCCGGCCGGGGCGGGTAGAGCTCAGACCGGCCCGGCTCCCAGGCTCACGCCCCACACGGGCTGCGCCGGCACCCTGGACACACGTGTAGCCGACAAACGGAAGCAGGCAGGCCAGGCAGGCAGAGGAGCTGCGTGTCTTCCTTCTGTCAGCGGCTGTGCCGGCAACAGCGCCGCACACGCCATGTCACGGCTGACACGCAAGATTCCCAGACAACTACACAACCCGGCGCCCGTGGGCAGGGGAGAAGGAGCGCCCCAGCTACAGACCGGGGCCCTTCCTGGCTCTCGGAACCCCGGGACGCCGGCGCCCGCCTGGCCCCGCTCTGTCCTCGCCCGTCTGCAGCCCCCGACAGCGGGTCCCCACCGTGGGGAAGCCGCGCCCCCCCGCCGCCGACTCACCCACCGTCCTCCCCCCACAAGCAAACAGGTGCTACCGCGGCCATTCCAGTTCAGAGCCAGCGAGCGGCCGCCTGGTGCTGCGAGCTGGCGCGGATGTCCTGTTACGCGGCTGCCGCCCCAGGGAGCGCTTTCCGTGTCTCTGGGATGCGGGCGGGCGGGGATGGCCGGTGCAGCCTGGACCCGGTCTGAGCACCCACGGCCCGTGGGCCCCGGGAGCAGGGCCCGGGGCAGGAGGCGAGCAGGCTGCGGGGCTGTCCGTGGGCACCTCTCCAGGTTCCAAAGCAGCAGAAAGGCTGTCCCAGCGACCAGCAGCCAGAGCCAGGCTTCGCAGGCAACGCGCCCCGGCTCCAGAGCCGCGCCCAGAGCAGGAGGCACGCCTTTCCCACGGGGCACCTGGCCTCGGCTCTGGGTAAGAGGGACGAGCGGACCGACGACCCCAGGAGCTCTCCGCTCCCGCAGCCCACCCTCGCCCATCACCGGCCCGAGCTGCCTGGCGGGGCCCCGGCCCCCGGGCTGTGGGCTTCCTGAAGGCTCCCAGGCTCCGTTTGGAGTGCGGAGTCCTCACTCCGACCCTCATCCACTCCCCTAGTGGCCAGAGGGGCCGGCTGGGGACAGGGAAGACTGGCTGCAGAGCAGGAAACACACACACAGCCTCTCTTCGCCTCAGCTCCTTGACCCCCGAAACAAGGAAGCTGGCCCTGAAGACTCTGCGCCGGCCTGGGTCACGGGCCAGGGATGAACGTGCAGGGCTCCTCTCTGAGAACGTGTGAGGACCCGCGGAGCTTTAGCTGGGGTTTCAGGGGACCCGTGGGACCCTAGCACCCTCCCGAGATGGACCCCCTGGCTGCGCTGTTCCACCCAGCCGCGGCCTGACCCTCCCGGAACACAGGCTCAAGGTCTACAAAGTCAGAGGACCGGCAACACAGGCAGCTCACGGCAGACTGGGGTCACGGGAGATGTGCGATGTGGGCGCGGGGGGGGGGGGGGGGCGGGGACAGGAGGTGGGGGAGGTTCCGCGCTACTGAAAGGACACTTTCCCCTTTTCATTCCAACGACGAGTATTTCACGTCCAGGTCTGTGGGTCATTTTAAGGGGAAGAAAAACTTCCCTGCAATGAAAAATCTTGTCACCAAGCCCAGGTTATTTCCCAAGCTTCAAAATTAGTTTATTCCTCCTCTTCCCAACACAGGAGTTTCAAATTCATTTTGAGAACCAGGCTACGCTCACCCTGACCTTTTCCTCATTTCTTCTTCCCCTGAGGAAGAGCAGCTAAGAAAAGCCGGCCACTCGCAGGGTTATGGCTCCTCTGCAGAACAGCAGGCGCCTCCCACAGAGCCCTGCCCAGGGTGCTGGGCCTGATGAACGCGGGGGATCGGCGCGGCCCGCGCTGGACACTGGTGGCGGCCACTCCGCCCCAGACCTGCCGGGGCACGGCCGCCCGAGCACACGCTCACAGGCATGCCACGCAGCCTTCTGCCCCTCGGTTTGCGCCCCACCCCCACCCCCACCCCCGGCCCCCGCTTGCCGGTCCACTCACGTCTCGGGCCCCCACGCGTGAGGAGGCTGCCTCCCTCGAAGCAGCCGGCTCCGTCATTCGAGATGACCCGCGACCTGGAGGGCGGCAACACGCTGGAACTTCTCCCCCTCTGTTCACACAAGTGGCCTAAACGAAAACCACCCCAGCACGGCACATTAATACCAAACAGGAGCCAGGGAAACACAGCACACGGCACGAGGAGGCCCGGCTTCACACGGGCCGCGCACGCCTCTGGCCCCCGCTCCGCTCTCGGTCTGAATCTGCCAGCGAGAGGTGACGGCGGCCGGGGCGTGTTCTTCTCCGACCTCCCCCCGTTCCGGGGCCCCGTCCCTCCTTCCGGGCGCTGCCTCGGCCCACTCAGAGGTCACCGGCTTGTGGCAGCAGCCCGTGACGCGTGGCTCCTGCGTCGCTGTGTTCCAGGAAGGCCCCTGTGCACTCGCGCCAACGCCCGGCCCCACACGGTCCCGGAGGTACAAGCGCCTCCGCGGGGGGGAGTGAAACCCCCGCGGCCGCTTTCACAGCGAAGCCTTTGCAGGGACGGACCCCTGGCGGGCCTGGTCAGCCCCGAGGCCCCGCGCGCGTCCCACTCCCCTGGGCTGACCTGGAAGCGGCCCTCTGACTTGCCGGCATCTGAGCATCGGGGTAAGAGGTGTCTGCCGCAGGACACCGCAAAAACGCTTCTGTGGGAGGACGGGATCCCAGCTGAGAGCCACGGCCTCTCCGCGTGGGTGCCCCGGGGCCGGCAGCGCGCTGCTGGGCGGCCACATTCCGACCTGCTCCGCTCACGGGGCTCCGGCCGCTCGTTTCCCATCCCTCCGGGTACCGCTGACGCTCCTGGCTCTGCAGGCGAGGAGCTCCTGGAGGGCACGCTGGGAGCTGTCCCCAGGGCCGCCCCGGCTGCTCTGCCCAAGAGGATGGGGCGACCTGCCCGCTCAGTTCGGCCCCTGCTGCCCTTGGCCCTTGTGACGAGCTCAGCGCCGGCCAGGCAGCTCAGGGCCGGCCTGCCCGCAGGTGCGAGCCGCGCCTTCGCCGTGGCACAGGGGGTTTCGTGTCCAGCTGCCTGACGAAGTGTCTCCCTAGACCGGTTCTGAGCTGAGGCTGGCGGTCTCTGTGCTGCTCCAAGTGGGTCTGCCCCCTCCAGACCCCAGGAGACAGCAGCAGGTCCCCTCACAGCTCCCTGCTTTCCATGTTGCGGGGGCAGAGATGACATGCCCCCCCAAGCCTGAGCCCGCCCTCCCTGCAGCAGCTCGGAGGTGGCCCGGGCCCCTGGCTCTGCACTGTTTCTCCCGCATCAGGGGACACATGGCCCCACAGGCCTTGGCAAGTTCTGCACCATCCCAAGAGCCCACTGTAAGGTTGTCCGGCAGACGGCACGTGCCACCTGCGCTCGCCTCCACACAGAGGGAAGCCAGAGTCTCCCGCAGCTTTTCCACCCGCCCCCCATCCTACAGCTGGGCACCCCGACCCGGCAGGCGAGGCTGCCCCAGCACCCCGCCTCCCAGCACTGCCCTGAAAGGAGCCCCAGCCCATTCTAAGCCTCTGGGAGATGCACAGAGACCAGGGAAACCACCCCAGGACAGGCCCCGGGCTGGACAGCGTGCGGGGCAGGCACCCAGAGTCCTCGGAGCTCAGGCTCCCGAGGGGACAGACATCAGTCACTGCGGCAGTGGGACCAGCAGGACCACACGGTCCCCTCCTAGACAGACAAGGGGCATCCCCAGGATCCCTGTGCTGCACTTGGAGCGCGGGTTTGTTCACAGGAAGCAACAGTCAGCGGGATGAGCTGAGGTTCTGTCTGCACAGTGGCTCAAGGGCCGCTGGTGGGGGAGGTGCTCTATTCCCTCCGGGCACAGCTTTCAGTCTGAAACGTCTGCCGGTGCCCCCTCTCCAGCGGGACAGAGGTCACAGCTGGGACCCACAACGTGGGACCCGCAACGTGCTAGGAGAGCCGCAGCCTCCCCAGCACACAGGGCTCCTGACGCAGCTGCGCCACGGAACAGAGCACGTCGCCGCTGCCTCACCCCAAACCCCAGCCGCCTGTCACGGCGCACGCCACCCGGCCCTCCTGCAGCCCTCAGAACGTGGGGACAGACCGCGGGCCAGGGCTCGGTGCAGCCCGGCCTCTCCCGGGAGGGCAGCAGATCCCAGGGGCCCCGCTGCGCAAGCAGGCCCCCTGGGGTCAAGGAGAAGAACATGCCTCTTGTGACATCTACGTCACAAAGGGTCACCAAGGGACAGCTGCAAAGCAGGCTGCTGGGAGCACCAACATGCTGGTCTGAGCCGAGGAGCCACCGCGCCCGCGAGCAGCCCTCTCCCGCAGGAAGGCTCACCGTAGACCTGGGCGCCGGCGCCGGCGCTTCTTCTGGTGGCCGTGTGCATGCGCGGTGACGCAGAAGCCTCGGGGCGCTGCCCTGGCGAGGCCGAGTCAGGCACAGCAACCCTGGCAGGCCCGTCACCGGGAAGCTCCACCACGGTCACCCGATCCGCTGGGCCAAGCCAGCTGCTCGGTGCAGAGCAGCCAGGCTTACAGGGAAGTAAGAGCCACAACACTTTTTTGCCCATAAAATGCAAAACGTTCAGCGGAAACGGCAGCACGCTGCGCAGGGACAGTGCGCCGGGTGCGTGTCCGTCCTCTGCTGACCGCCCCTCGCGTGCTGGCAACGCGCCGGAGAGGCAGCCTCTCCAGGGGCGTCTCAGGCTCCTTCCCACGAGCTTATCTCCCCCGTGCAGGCAAGGCATGAAAGTGACAATTTAAGATAACACATAATGGAGCTAATCTTTCTTCTGAAGATAAGATTGTAGCACCCGGAGTCACTGCACGTTTGCGGGTTGGTGAATTAAATATAAAAATAACCAGCATGAGCTGGAGCTCGCAGCTAGCGCTCCCTGCAACTCCCTCGGCCCGCGAGCTCCTGAATAATGTCTGCTTCTCACACGCGGCTCATTTATTTCTCCGGATCCTAATTGAGTTTTGCTGTTTCCACATTGTCTATTCTCCCAGATGCCTCGGATCCAACATTTGTAAACAAGCAGGCAGGAACCTCGAAGCCGACTTAATGAGCCGTGCACACCTGCGGCTGCCCGGCTCCAGTGCCGGCGCCGGCTCCAGCGTGCGGGGCGCGGGGCCCATGGGGCCCGGCCTTACACTCGGCTGGGTTTTGAGGGATGGAAAATCCCCCGACCAAAGAGCAGAGGTTCAAGTCCCATCCAGACAGACCCTGCTCCCCATATCTCAAAAGGCTTGGATTTGTCCAACTCTCGCTTCTGCCCAAAACAACCCCCAGCCCCCCACAGGCCCTCCAGGGAGGCTGAAAGGGCCTGTCCGCAGCCCACCGGAGCCGGCACCAGCCCTCTGCCCGGAGGTCGCCGCCATCCCCTGCCCCGTCAGGGGCCTTGGCTGTGCCCCCAGAAGGTCGCGCCCAGCCCACGCTCCCTGTGCCCTGCACGTGGGAGGAGAGAACGTGTGGGACACGAGGTCGAGGTGCCGGGCTGTGAAGAAGTGTGTTTCCCTGTCCCCTGTCCCCGAGCCACAGGGAAGTCCAGGAGCATTTACTGCTCCTTCCCCTCCTCCTCCCGGAGGCAGCTCTGTGGGCGGGTCTCCTGGTGAAATCCTGCCCCCCATCACTTTATTGGAGGACTGTCACAGCGGGGCCCCAGGGACAGCACCCAGAAACAAAACGCGGGCTAGACCAAGACAGCCGATGCCCCTAAATCCTGATCGGAAATCAGGACACCAAACAACTGGTGCCCAGGCGGGCTCCGCGGTCAGGGCAGGCTCGGCAGCCAAGACATTCCTGCTGAGTGTCTGCTGCCCACGACGTGCCCATGCCCTGGGGGAGCTCACATCCCAGGTGGGAAGATGACCGGCTGTCCAGGAAACGACGGTGGCCACACAAAGCCGCCGGGACTCTTACCCACATTGGCCAAGGTCAGGTGCAGCCACCCCTTCACCACCGTGCGGATGCCGATCGGCTTGATGCCGCCAAGCCCCGCCACGTCTCCGCTCATCACCATCGCGTCCTGCTCGTATTCAGTCGCCACGACCTCGAGCTCGTGAGAGACCTGCACAGCTGGCCGCCCCTGGCGCAGGAGGTGCTGCGGAAGAGACGCGCGCGGGTCAGGGCGGCAAGGCCAACCCCTTCCCCGCCCCCCACCCAAAAGCCTGTGTCCCTGAGGCCGGCCAGGTCTTTCCCACAAATCCCTGAATGAAGGGCAACGCAACTGGCCCGCCGAGGAAATACCAGGGGGCCACCTTCCAGAGACCCCCGCCCCCGTGGAGAGGAGGAGGGGACAGAGCATGGGTCACGGGCGAGGGGACACAGCCCGGGTCAGCCCTCAGGGAGGGAGGAGCAGCCTGAGCCCCAGGGGAAGAGGGCGTGGTGCCCGGGGAGCCCCACGCACAGCCTGGCTGCCACTTCCAGGAGCCGTGGGCTCGCAGGGCGAAGGGCCTGCGGAGCAGGGAGGGAGCGGCCGGGGGCCGCAGTCTCTGTGACTCGCCACTGCTGCAGGGGCCGGCCCCAGGCGGGCAGGGGGACCAAGGGGGCCATGGCTGGCCTGGCAGGAGAGCAGCCACATGGGACGGAAGAGACTTGCCAGCGCAAGGGCGGGGGGCGGCCGCCACGGCGCCGTTTCCCCTTCCACCCCCAGAGTGGCAGGAGCGACTCTCAGGACCTCCCGCCACAGCGGCTGCCGGAAGGGACCCCGGTCCCTGGCCCAGGAGCTGCCCTGTCAACTCCACGCCGGCCCTTGGGGCCTTGGTCACGGAACAGAAGGGGCTTGGGGAGACCCCAGGGAAGAACGGGGATGAACGCGTGGGCTCAGGTTTAGTGGGTGACGGGATGGGAAGCCCAGGAGAGAAAGGATTCGAGTCTCACTCCACTGGAACTTGAAGGGCAGGACTTGGGGGACTGGCCCCAGGCCTCGGCCAACCCCAGCCGGCCAGGGCCCGCCCTTGCACACAGAAGGCAGCCCTGGGGCGGGCCAGGCCCTCGGAGACGAGGCAGCCCCGCCGGGCAGCCGGCTTGCGGGGGTGCTGATGGCGACCCCCGGGAGCCCAGCAAGGCAGAGGGCGGGTCTCACAGGCGTCAGCTCCTTGCAGGAAGGAGGGGGCTGCACGGTGCTCTTAGCTTATGGATGATGGAGCCAGACCACAGTCCAGCGCTGGGCAACGGGCACCACCAGGAGCAGACGGACCCGCCTTCTCAGGGCGGCCCCCGCCCCCGCCCATGGCGCCCAGCCTGCAGGGGACCCGTCACCTTCATCTGGACGGCCACCGACCCGATGAGGAGCAGGGAGTCCCCATCCCAGACGTCGAGCTGCAAGGTCTGCAGGGCCAGGTAGCGGGCGAACCAGCGCTGCTCCCCAGGCCTCAGGAGCCCCGGGCCCACCAGGTAGCTCAGCCGGAAGCCGGGGGACCCTGTGCAGAGAGACCCCCGGTGAGGCCAAAGGCGACTGGAGTGAGTCATTTATCACCTTTACACTTGGACGAGGTTTCTGCTCTGGTCGCCAGGGCTAATTTCTGTTTCCATCACAGCTATGGTTTCACAGACACAGTAATCAAAAACATCATAAAACACCCAAATTAACAAAATGGAGAGTGCTGTTCCGAAGACTACGTTTCTTTCCAAATTATACAGGAAGCTCCTCCCAACATAAGAGTGTGGTTTTCAGCAAGTGCTGGTACCAGAGTCCAGGCTGGGTGGGGACGGGGGCCCTCGCGGGCTGGCTGGGGGTGGGGGGGGTTCGTTCTTCAGTGAGCACAGGAATTAAGGAGGAATGAATCAGCACCGCCTGTCAAAACTGGGGTGTTCACACTCACGCCTGCAGAGCTCCGCAGCCGCTGCCGGGGTGGCCCAGGCCCGCCCCCGCCCCGGGAACGCCCCACCGGAGAGGATGCATGGGTGGCAGTGATCGTGGGAAACGCTGCTCCGCATCCTGCGTCACAGGGAAATGCAAACTACAGCCATGAGATGCCACGTTGAAAGAGCTAAAATCAGGAACGCTGACAGCCCCACGCGCTGGCGAGGACATGGGGCAGCCGGAGCCTCACCCGCTGAGGTTGGGAACGCGGCGCGCTGCGGCTGGGAACGCGGCGCACTGCAGCCTCTGCAGAAGGCACTGGCGGTTCTTACAAAACTGAACAGGCTCCCGCCAGGTGACCCAGCCGCCACACGCCTTGGTATTTGCCCAGTGGAGTTGAAATTTTATGTCAACACAAACTCCTGAACAAAAATGTTTATAACAGCTTTATTCACTGGGAACAACCAACACGCCCTTCCAGAGGTGATGGACGAATAAGCTGTGGTCCCTCCACACCGTGGAATATGATTTAGCACTAAATAGAAATGAGCTATCGAGCCACAAAGAGGCATGGAGGAATCTCACACGCGTGTTGCTGAGCGGCAGAAGCCAGCGTGGAAAGCACACACTAGGTAGTTCCAGCTGTAGGACAAGCTGGACGAGGCACAACTCAGGAGACAGGAGAGCGATCGGGGGCCGGTGGGGCTTGGGCGGGGCAGGGAGAAGGGAGACAGCACAGGGGACATAGGTCGGTGAGACTGCCCCGTACGACACTGTCACAGTGGATCCGTGACGCATCTGTCAAAACCTATCGAATGCACAGCGCCAAGAGTGAACCTCCCTGTAAACCGGGGGCGGAGGCTCATAGCGATGTCCTGGCATTGGCTCACCCGCTGTGACAAGCACCCCGAGCACACGCGCACAAGACGCTGATCCAAGGGGAGCCTCTCCTGCCGGCTCGGTTTCCCCGCACCCCGGGACTGCTCTGGAAAAAAAAAGTCTATCACGTGTGAAAACGCTTGGAACTCCACGCCGTGTCGTATGCGTTACACAGCTATCGGCCGGGGAAAGACAGCCTCTCTCGAGTGAGCCTCTGGGGACGCTCAGCGCTGCGACTAGAGGGACAGCCCGCGGGGGGCGGGGGCGGGGGGCGGCGGCTGCGGGACACCCCGGCAGGCCGACCTCCGATGGACACTGCCCTACAAGAAATGGCCAAAGCCTTTTTTAGATTTTAACTTACCAATTTTGCGCTTTGAATTTTAATTCACAATGACAAGAAAATTCAATTTTGGAGTTTATTTTCTCTGGACTTCAATTTGCAAGGAAATTTAACTTTTGGACTACTTTCTCGGTGGGAATTCACACCGGAAAGGGATTTACACTCAGATAAGGAGTGACTCCTGGCAGCTGGCGCTGGCACTGGATCACCCCAGCACTACCGTCCGCCGCGCTGCAGAGCCGCACTGGGCCGCCACACAGAACCAGGAGTGAGCTTCCGGCAGCAGCGCAGAGGAGCCTTCACGACAGAGCCTCTGGGGACACGAGCTCCCTGAACTGTCCACTGAGGGTCCCGGAGGATCGGCAAGGGCAGGAAGGCGGGGACGTGGTGACTGCCCTGCCCCCACCCCAGTAAGAGGCGCACACCCCGGCCGGCCCTGGCCCGGGGGCGAAGCCCGGAGAGCTGAGAGAACAAAACCGGGACACGCTGCGGCCCGTGCGCCCGGCCACACGCTCCTGTGCACGGGCCCAGCGCCCCCACCCCGCCCCCGCAGGCTCCTCCCGGGGAGAAGGGGCAGGGCCCCAGCTGCTCGCCCTCCTGTCCTTCTCTTCAGACCTGCCCGCAGGCGGAGAGGACGCCGGGGCCCACAGCCCCGCCCCAGGGCCGAAGCGGCCGCCGCTGCCCGCTGCCCGCTGCCCGCTGCCCGGCCCTGCCCCTTCCGCAGCAGGAGCCGTGCCTGCGGCACCTGCGACCCCGTGTCCAGCAGCTGGGCTGACACTTTCTGGTATTTCTTTGTTTTCCTGGCAGTTGTGCTCATTTTGTAATTTCTTCCCTACTGTTACTGGGTTTGTTCTGTTTTTTTATTTTTTCACCAAACCTCTTGAGTTGAATAATTAGATCAGCACTTTAGAAGATACTTTCTTTTCTCCCAATATAATAAGCGTTTAAAGCGGTAAATTTCCCTGTAATTACTTTACTTGCATCCCGTTACCTTTGATATGCAATGTTATTTTGTCACTCAGTTTTTTAAATATTTTACTTATTTATTTATAGAGAGGGGGAAGACAGGGAGAAAGAGAGAGGGAAACATCCATGTGTGGTTGCCTCTCGCATGCCCCCAACTGGGGACCTGGCCCTCAACCCAAGCCTGAGCCCTGCCTGGGAATCAAGCTGGTGACCCTGTGGTTTGCAGGCTGGTGCTCAGTCCACTGAGCCCCACCAGCCAGGGCTCTCATTTGGTTTTAAGTAGCCATTTCTATTTCAATTTCTTCAGGGACCTATGGGATAATTAAAAATGTTTTAAAATTTTAAGAAGTCCAGCAGCTGGGAGCCTTGTCGGGGGAGGCAAGGACTGATTTCTGACCTTGTGGCGTCTAGTCCTACAATGCCATTAAATCAGGAGTTGACAGAGATTCTCCTGGTATGGGGTGGTACCCGCTCGGTGACCTAAATCTATCCATTGATACATGTATTATCAGTTTTCATAAGTTTCTAAGTGTGCTTGAAAATGATGCATATTCTCTAAATTGGTTGTACAGGTTTTTATAAGATCACCTTTTCAAACTGTATTTTATGATACCCTTATTTTTTCTGCTTGATCTATCAATTTACTGAGAAAAGTGTGTCAAAATCTCCCTTGACTGCAGGCTTGTCAATTTCTCCTCAGAAAGTCTGCCAATTTTTCCTTTATATTTTGAGGCCAAGTTCATTAGAAGTTCACAGCTTCAGAACTGTCTGTTTTCCTCGTGAATTACTCTTAATTGTCACATAATGAGCTGCTTCACCCCAGCACCGCATCTGTCTCCTGTCTCCTCTGCCTGCTGCCCACGCTGTTAGGCCACCTTCACGGGGCGTTTCGATGCCTTTCCCCCCTGCCGCTTCCTGCTGAGGATGCAGCGGGCCTTAGCCCCCAGCGCTGCCCCTTGCGAGCCAGGTGCTGGCCATGGGGGGACACCTGGCCGCCCCAAGAACCCCCGGTAGTGCGTTCACTCCACCGCAGTTTAAACGGATTAGTTTAGAATGGGGGGGCGGGGGGCGGGGGGCGGAGCCAGTGGTCCCAGCCGGGGGACGCTGGGCGCCGTCTCAGGGTTCCGGAAAGGAGCAAACCAAAGGCCGGGGGGGAGGGGGGCGAGCACTACAGCGCCCTCCGCACACGCCTGCCCCGAAGGCAACCACGTCGTCGGTGAGGGGAGGTGTCCCGCTGTGGGAGCGCCCCGGCAGACAAGGAAGGGGGTGTTCTAGAGCCACCACGCCCCCACCCGAAGGCCACAGCACAGCCCGAGGAGACGCCACTGACGCGTGGCCGCAGGGACACTGCGCGCCGGATCCAGCATCCAGATCTAACGCCCACTTTTCAGGAAAACGGGGGACAGGAATGACGCAGATGTCAGCTCTGGGATGCAAAACCAAAGTGTAGGCTGTGGGCTGCTCTAGGGGACGAGCTCTTGGCTGTTCTGACAACTGAGGCTGAACAGTGGGGACGGTGGCGGCCCCCACGGGCAGACAGAGACGGGAGCGCCCCCATTGCTGCGCACGGCCCTTGCTCACGTCCGGACCTGAACACACTACAGAAATCTGTTCGAAGTTATGGGGGAAATTTTAACACTGGCTGGGCATTTGATGACATTAAGGAATTATTCTTAATTTTTAGGTGGTATGGTAACGTGGAGCTTATGTTTTCCAAAAAGGACTCTCTAGTTTTTCAGATATACATACAACGTCTGGGATTTGCTCTGAAACAGTGCTGGTTTGGAAGGAGACCGGGGCGGGGACGCAGGCAAGACCGCGAGAGCTGACGCCTTAGAGCGGTCTCTCAAATGCTGCACGTGTTTGAACATTTTCACTGTCCTGCACTTTTAAATAAAACCTGCAGACCAGGCTCAGTGCAGCTTCCCCGCGTCTGCCAGGCGCGGAGCACTTACCAGCATCAAAGGAGCCGTCCTTGTCGATGGGAACGAGGATGTGTGACAAGGGGCCCGGGAGGGACTCCCCCGTCTCATCCAGCCGGGACAGCCGCAGCCGCGGGGTTGTCGTGGGTGGGAAGCGGTAGAACTGGAAGGTGAAATACACGGTGTTTGGCCACGGTGTTCCCTGGTCGTCCTCGGGCGCCCTGAATCCAACAAAGCTGAGAATTAATCACGTACCCTCAGAGGGGAGGGGCTTCCATCGCACCCTTGACGGGGAGACAGCGGGGGCCACGCGGGACACGCTGCCCCCTTGGCCCTCCCGAACAGCTGGCTCCCCCGTGACCTGCGGGAGCCCGGCCCCCGTCCACCCACTCCAGGTGTGGCCGGAGGACCCTGCCGTCGGGGCCCCCAGCACCCGCGAGCTGGCCCGCAGCACGCCGTCCTGTCGGCAGGGAGGGCCCCGGAGGACGTGGCCAAGCAGCATCACAGCAAACCAAAATCGGGACAGAGGGCAGGCCTCCGCCTCCTGAGACCGCACACAGCGCGCTCTGCCGGGGCGGAGCCACTCAGAAGCCTTCATTCGATGGGAAGCTCACAAAAGCCGGGCGGGCGGGGGGGGGCACGGGGGGGGGAGGTACGCGCGCTGGCAGGTCAAGGCTGCACCTGCTGAGGGCGAGGAACTGCAGCACTATCTCGTTGCTCTGCAGGCGGTCGGACTCTTCCTTCTGAGGGCTGAACTTCACGGGGTCTGTAGGGTTCACAGCCTCGACGGGCTGCTTGTTGGCATCCAGGATCTCAGGGAAGCCCGAGCCCTGCAGGAGCGCCAGCGCGGCTCTCGAGAGTGTCCTGCCAGAGCTGAAGCCAGAGCCGAAACCAGAGCCGTCCTCAGCCAGCCTCCGGGAGGGGCCGCGAGGGCGGCCCTGGGCAAGCCCGCCGCTCCGCTCCGGGGCACGCGCCCTCCCAAGCCCCCGCACCTCCTCATCTGGGCCCCCACGACGACAGGGGCATGCACCGGTGCGAAGGGTAGCTCCTGCAACCGCTCGGCCACGCACGGGCCCGGGGCCAGGGGCGTCTGGCTCAGGTCAGCCTCCAGGTGGGAGATGCCGCCCTCCAAGGGGAACTCCTGCGGGACAAAACGAGGGCCCCGTGAGGCCCCAAGGATGAGGACCCCTGCCTGCAGCCCACAATGCTCAGACACGGGGCTCCCCCATGAACTGTCCCGTCTGTTGTTAGCATTAGCCAATAAGAACACAGGAGCTCGGCTGCATTTTCATTTCAGGTAAACGAGTCATTTTAGTGTAAGCATGTCTCACATCATATTTGGGACATGCTCATACTAAAAAGTTATTTTTCATCTGAAATTTGAATTTATGTGGGCATCTTGTATTTTATGTGAGTTGAAAGCACCGAGGAAGGGACCGTGGGTTTTCTGCACAACTCAGGACCGTGGAGGGGGCGCAGGGCAGGGGGGCCGGCACCCACCCCGTGCCTGCGGGCAGAGACGGGGCAGCACTGCCCAGCGGCCGCGGCCCGTGCCCCGCACCCTTGCTCCTGCGTGCACACGGGCCTTGCCCGCACCCACGTCCACTTCCCTCCAGAGCGGGAGGCACATGTCTAAGCCGAAAGCCTGTCTGGGAATCCAGCACACTCTTTCAAGGCTGCTCCCCAAGCTCTGTGTTTCCATTCAGAAAACAACGCCACATAACCGGAGCAACGCTGATGACGGAAGAGATGCAAGGCCCTCACGAGCACAGGGGCCAAGGCACACAGGGTGGCGGGGGGCAGGCGGGGGGCAGGCAAAAGTAGGCTCACAGCCGTGAGGCCATGGAACAACTGTCTGAACAACTGGATGAACAACTGTAAACCTAGGCCTCCCTCTATCCCCGCCCCGCCGTTTGGAAGATGGCACTGAGCGCTACCAAGTGTTTCCAACGTGTGATGCATGGAGCTGCTTTTCCTCAACTGACCTCCAGCACAAGCCCGGAGACACGGTTTGCAGGCGCAGCGGCCAGCGTCTGAGACCACGCTCCGTGGGAACGCCCCAGGCCCGGCGGGAATACAGGCCCACTCAGGCCGTCAGCTGCAGTGGAACTGGGGATGGCGAGCCTCACCCACTCCCTCCCCGCCAGGCACGGGAGAGGGCCCTCTGTCTTTATATCGGGGAACTTCCCCTCCTTCTCGTGGCCCAGAGCCCTGGGTGGTTCGCCTCATTTTCAGGGGCAGAGCTAAAGCCTCGACCAAGCGCTGGCAGGACGTCCCAGACCACACGCTGGCTGATCACCAGACAGAAGGTGGCAAATCTGTGGAATGTGGAGGGTCCCTGTGCCCATGTCACAGAAAGCCCGCGATGGGCTCAGTCACCCAGCCAGGGCCCAGCGTGGAGGCAAAGTCAGCCTTCCCAGGGCCAGGAGTCCGGAGCCACCGCCTGGCAGGAAGGGGCGCACCTACCTCCTGGGCCTGCGAGGGCGCGGCGCCGCCGGGCTGCCGGGAGGAGGGCCGGGCCGAGGGGCGAGGAGTCGGAGAGCGCGGGGACACTGCCAGCTGGGACAGCGACAGCTGAGGGGACGGAAGCTCAGGTGAGACAGTGTGAGGATCCCGGGGACCCCCGGAAGGCCCCCTGCTGAGCTGGCCACACCCCCCGGGAGGCAGGGGGACTCCAGGCGCGACCGCCCAGGCGTGAGGCCGGCGCCCTCCGGGCAGTGGCTGCTCTGGAGCCCCGAACCACCTCTTGCTCCCTTTACTTGGGTTACCGAGAGCCGGTTCGGCGACCTCTCCCGGACAGTGGCAGTTGGATAGAAGTAGCGACAGGGAAAAGCGAGCGGAGAAGGGCATGGGCCAGGGCAGCCAGGTCCTCCGCGCCCGTGGGCGACAGGGCCCGCGGCCTTGGACCCGCCGGGGCTTCCGCTTCCATCTCTGCACGGACGTGCCAAGGCTCCCCTCCCCCCAACCCAGTTCCAGCCCCTGTGCTCCCGACGTAGCCGCCGGCGCAGGCGCTGGGGACGGACTCCCCGCTCAGCACTTCATCCCCACCAGGCCGTGGACAAGTCGCCCGCCCTCTTGCCTCGGCCTCCTCTTGTGTAAACGGGGATAAGGACGGGACCTCGAGCCCAGACTATCAAGAGCATTGAGTGGAAGTTCATGGAAAGGGTGCAGCTCGGAGCCTGGCGCCGGGCGAGCCTGCTACAGAGGTTGGCGTGGAGGGGTGCGGGCCGCCCTCTCCTGAGACCCTCCGTCTCTCAGATCCTGGGGCCACATCATAAGCAGGACATTTGCTGTCAGCAGTGACAGCTGCCCGGGGGAGGTGCTGGTACAGAGACGGACCCAGAGCCTGAGGAGGTGTCCAAGGAGGAGGAGTCCAAGGAGCAGGGGAGGGGTGTGTGGGGCTGGGGGGTCCTGGCAGCACGTTCGGGGACAGCGGGCACCTTAAGGGTCTGTGGCCCTCAGAGCCACATGCTGTCGCGAGCCTCTCCGGCCCCTGGAAGTGAGAAGTGCTGTCCTGCGGTCCCTGAACACTGGGGTACATGGACACCGCTGGAGGGAAAAGGCCGGGACAGCCCCGCAGGGAAGCCGGCAGGCCGTCCCCACACGTGTCTTCAGGCAAATACGACATCCACTTCTGATCCCGTTTCCGAGCTGCATGGCGCACATTAAATCCACTTCCTGGGGACAGCCTTTGATACTGAATTATTCAGCTCCTCTAGAAAGTCGATCTCCCGGGCGAGGCTGGCAGACAGAGTCACCAGGGGCACAAGCCAGCCTGACCGCGTTCAAAATCACACAACGGCCTCCAGCTTCCAGCAGGGCAGCGGCGCCGGCCGGCCAGCGGCCCGGTAAGTGGGAGCCTCCTGCCCACGCAGGAAGCCCTGAGTGACAGGCCGCCGTTGACAACCCAGGTCCCTGAGGCCATGCCCTGCCGGCACCAGCCCAGCTGCTCAGCCTGGCGCCGCCGTGACAGCCAGGCCCGCTCGGGACAGAGGTGGTGGGGAGAAGGGTGGGCGAGACCACCCCTCGGTGTCTCAGGAAGAAGCGACGGCTACTCAGTCCTGACGGGTCTCTGCCCTCAGACACGACTATCGGGGAGAGCACTTCCTGTTAGGGTGGCGCAAGGCCTTTGGCCGATGCCTGCCAACGGGGGCCACCACCTGTCTCCAGACCGGGGCGCCCCTGGAGGCTCCCCAGGGAAGCACACAGGCACCAACTGTCCTTGGCGATGCAGAGAGAACATTCCTGCCCCAGAGACTTAAATAACCGGCTTTGGAGCCCCGAGAGGGCCCCGGGGCCGCACTTACCCCCGGTCCCACGGGCGAGTCCTGCGAGGTGGCGAGGCCCTGGGGCGGAGGCACGGGCGGGCCTGGGGAGAAGCACATGGGGAGGGCGTCAGCCTCGGCGGGGCCCAGGGCTCCGCGAGCCCCAGCTCAGCAGGGCCTGGCATGTCCCCTGCCAGAGGTCGCGGAGCCACCGCTTGGAGCTGGGCAGCAGCGACCGGGCAGCCCCTACGCTTAGCGGAGAGACGTGGGCGAGCACGAAACTCGCCCAGGGCAGCTCCTCCCAAGTCCCTGACTCGGAGGACGAACCCTGGGTGAGCACTGGCCGCAGCAGCGCTCGGCTGCCCTGGCTTTGCGGGGTCACTCAGGGGGGCTCCATGAGAGGCGGACGCGCCGACAGTCGCTGCTCACGGGCTCGCCTGGGGCCTCCCACCTTCTCACCTGCTCACACGCCCGCCTTCGGAGAGCCGGGTCTGCCTCTCCCCGGGCTGGGCAGACCCGCGGTTTGTTAAATAAGAAATGTGTCTACAGACACGCACGGCAGACACTGCGGCGGGCTGCGCGGCTCACTGGTCACCGGTCGCTCAGCCACACTGAGGCCTGCTGCGCACAGCCTGGCCCCTGACCCTGCTCGCCGGCGGTGCGGGCGTGTTAGCACCGGGGAGGTCCAGGCCCTCCCCCACACGGCCCCTCACGAGGGGTTAAGAGGGTCCTCGGTGATGCCAAGCCGGCGCACACAAGCAGCCTCCTCCACCTGAGCCACCTGCTGAGCGCTGTCCCTACAGGGTGTCAGGGTGGGGCCGGGCTGCTTCTGCCCATCCCCAGGCCCTGGGGGAGGTCAAGGCCGAGCGGTCCCCGCCAAGCCCAGGCCCTGCACCCTGCATGGGAGCCCCAGGCAGGGGTCTCCGGTGCCTCAGTCACTCCACACGCACTGCGCACCTTCGCCGGCACCTGCCCACGTCACGCCTACCGCCCCCCATGGGCTGCCCAGCCGGCCCTGAGCCCCTTCGGCCCAGGTGCAACAGAGGCACCTGCCTGCCGGGGCACCCGCCTGGACTCCCCAAGGATCACGGCCCATCCCCTGCCCTAGGGGCCACACCGGCCTCGCTCGTCCCGGTTCCCTTCAGGCACCGGACTGGGTCCACTCTGCACGACCACCACACCCGCTGGACTTCAGGACAGCCCAGACCCCGGAGAGGTCAGCGCCCCACCCAGGCCGCCTCACCCTGCCTCCGGTGGGCCACCTGCCCTCGGCTCTCCCTCCCTCCTCTGCTCCCTGCCACCTGCAGAGGGCAGAGCTGGTTCCGGCTGAGGGACCGGGTTGACGGGAAAGGGGGGCAGGGACAGCCAGGGGGCTCCGACCCGCCAGCGACACCGGGCCACTGCCTGGCTCCCTTCTAACGAGCCGAGCTCCGAGCCCGGCCCCCCAGGAAAGATGTCACCGCCCTGGAAGCAACACGCAGATGAGGTTCTGAAGGGGGCCGTCCTGGAAGAGCGCGCCCCTCCCCAGCCCTCCCTGAGCCCCGCACGGCAGCCCCTGCCCCCCACCTCCCCGCCAACCGCCCAGAGAGGAGTCCGACCAGCAGCGAGCGAGGCATCCCTTGTTCTGCCCGGAATGGAGCCTGACGAGCCTGCAGGCTGATGCAGGTGATGAGGACAAACTACAGGAAACGGCTCCGGGTGCCTCTGCTGGGGAAGCCCGGACTCAGGATCCAGCCGTCGGTCCGCGTGGCCTCCGGGCGGCGAAATGCGCGCCTCCTCAAGGCCTCGGCGCTGGCGCTGTGGCTGGTAAGGCAGGTCTTCACGCCCTGGCTTAGGCAGCCTTACCTCCCGGAGAACAGCCCAGCACCGAGAAAGGTTTTGCTGGCGGCTGGAAAGGCGCCCCCTGGTGACTCAAGGGCCATGGAGCCCAAATCCACGGGCCCCCAGGAGGCATGGACTGAGAGAAAACGCACCACCAGAACCACAAGGGCCCAGGGTCCCATCGTTCCGTTCTCAGGCTCCACGCGGTGCGCGTCGGCTGAGTCGCTTCTCAGACCACACTGTCCGCACCCACACAACAGGGTGCCCTCCGGAGAGCACCCACCTCCACTCCTGCAAGTCCCCCAAAAGCCAGGATGCGGGGCCTGATGGGAAGCCCAACCCCCGCAACCAGGACTGCCAGGGCAACACACAGCCAGGCAACAGACGTGCGCACCCTGCGGCCTGGGGTGTGTCCAGGAAGCCTGCGGCTGCACCACCGGACGCTGCGGTCCACCGGGACGCGCGCGCGCCCCAGACGCCAAAGCCCTGGGGCCAAAGCGGCACATCGTGGGGGAACCCGCAGCTGGGAGAAGGGGCTCCTGCCACGGAAGGGCCACCGAGACAAGGCACAGAGTGGACGAGGCAGGTCCCCAAACAGTCTGTGTAACGCCACCTTGTCCACAATAAAGAAGGAAGGAACCAGATGTGGACTTAGGTGTGCAGGTAGATTCCCTGAAATTCACAGTATGGATTAGAAAGGGCTACAACTTCACCCTTCACATGTGCAAGTAAGCATGTATCCGTTTATTACCTGTGGGGTTAAAATAACTTCAATTTCAGTTTAGCATCTTTCTGCCCTGGAGAGACCTGAAAGCACTCCTGGCTGAGCTGATGCTGCAGCTCCACGCAGCCCAGAGATCCGAGGTGCCCGCGGAAAGGAGGTCAGCAGAGGCTTACACCCCTGTGCTCGGCTCCCTCCTGGGGGCGCCAGGCTGGCAGGGCTGCCACAGGGCTCTGGGTTCAGGTAAGTAACCCAGAAGTTAAAAGAACACAGGAACTCTGAGACGACGGCTCTGCCTGCCGCGTGGTGGGCGCTCGGTGGGCGCTCGGGGGCTGTGGGCCGGGGAAGCTGTCGTCCGCAAGAACAGCGGAAGGGACTAAACCGGTGTCCCCACGTCACCGGGGCAAAGTGTGGTGCGGACAGGGTCCACCGCGGCAGCCTGAGACCAAGGAGAAGCTAACCCCCCCAGCTGCGACAAGCTGGGCCTGTCCGAAGGCTCTCCTCCCGACCCTAGACTCTCCCCGGTCACTGTCCACTCGCCGAAAACCACCGACAGCGAAACTCCATTGTCTCCAGTCCTCAGCTCAGCTTCCAGGAGCCCAAGCGCCCTACCCTCCGCCAAAAGGTGGGGCGGGGGCTGCAGCCGTCGGCACATTCGTCCATGTCCACCGCGGCCTCCTGCTCCCTCCGCACTCTGCCCCGAGGGGGCCTGCGGGCGAAGCAAAGCCGAGGGCCTCCAAGCCAGCAAAAGAAGGGCTGCTTCTCCCGTCAGACAGTGCCTTGGGGGCAGGTCACAGAAAGGCATGAACACAAGTACAGATAAATGAAGAACCAGACAGAGACTCCACGGAGACATCCTGCTGCTGGAGGGGCGCAGGGTCTGCCAGCCAGCACGCCCTCTGGAGGCACGGCGGGCCCCGAAGCACAGCCCCCCGCCTGCGGTGGCCGAGGGCCGACCAGGAGTGGGCCCGGGTAGGAGGCAGGCTGAAGCCCTCTATCCCAGAGGCCCGCTGTCTTCCTGAGAATATCGTTCCTAGTGATGTGGGGGTACAAAGTCGCTCCCCCGAAGGCTCTGGTCACAGGAAGAGGGGGGGGGGTCTTGATCCAGGGAGATCAAGAGAGAGCTGGGTGGGGGAGGGGGCGAGGTCCCCACGGGAGGAGTCAGGGTGGGGCAGCCGCGGCCTGGAGCCAGAGGCGCCCTGGAGGAGGGGAGAGCCGGCCGGGCACGTCAGGGCGCAGGCTGTGGCCACCTGCGGGGGCCGGCCCAGAGCGTGGTCTCCCTGGCCACGCTCACAAACGCTCTGCAGCAGAAGGGGCCCTGGTACCCCCACAAAGCCGCCCGCCCTGGGTCCCCCGCTCGCGCTGGCCCCACACTTTTTTGCAGGACAGGGCCCGGAAGGACGCGCCCGACAGCGTCCACCGCACTGAGGGACCCACGCACGGAATCGTCAGGAATCGAGCTCCGTCCACTCTCGGAACCCAGGATCACACGTTTTCAATGGCCCCCTCCCCATGGCTCGTCCCACATCTATTAGGCAAACACAGCAGAATGCTGATGCCACCAGAACATTCGAAAGCAAAATATGGGTCAGGGAAATTCCAAGCCCCCCCCAAAAATGAGGAAGCAGCGCCCTCTAGTGGATCCCTGCACACTTTCACAGAGCGTGACAAATGGACCCTCGTTCCCTTGTCACTTTATAGAAGAAATAAAAAGGATAATTCATAACAGAAAACCAAAGTACCTCACGTAAAATGACAGCCGCATATCATTAAGATTTCCAAAGGACCCATATAAGTTGGTAAAATAGTGAAGTAAGAAATTTCCGACGTAAGTTAAACACCAACGGGTATTTAAGTCGGTTGCATTGGGTCTTGGGAAGCAACTGCCTTCACACGCTTGACTGGGGCGAGGGCGGACGTGCTGACGTGACACAGAAGTTCCAATAAATCCCAATTAAACACACCTGACGCAACCGGGCTCCATCCACGCAGGTCTGCCGGCCCCCGACAGCAGCCGAGAAGCCGCTGACGCAGCTGCCACACGGCAGAGTCCAGTTCCCGATCCTTCCAGCCGCCCCTGCGTCTGCTGCGGGCGAAGAGGCCACAGCTCTGCCCCCAAAACGTGGCGCTGTGGCCTGGCGCCCGCCCAGGGAGAACGTCGCCCGCAGCCAGTCGCCCAGGCAGAGGGCCGTCTCGGCCCAGAGGCAGCTGCCCCACGGGGGGCCCCGGGGGCCCCCCCAGGCCCCCACGGTGCTCCTCGCAGCCCCAGCCCTGCTCCGTGCCCGGCTCCGTCAGAGTTGGGTGGGGACGCCCAGAGGACATCCCCCCTGCGGTCAGGGTGGGCGGCCCACCCCCACTCCAACAGAGGGGGACCCCGCCAGGCACGCGGGGCAAGCGACGCAGCCCAGCGAGGGACGGGGGATAAAAGACGTTCGTTCTGCGGAGATCCCCTGGCCCAAGGATGGGCGTGGAGCTCCAGCCACTGCGTGGAGACCTCCCTGGAAGGAAGCCAACGCTGCCGACCCGAGGGCAGGGGGACAGGGCGCGGGAGAGAGAGGCACA